TGAACAGGTCTTGCTTGTTATGGCACTTTCAGGACTGGTGGTGAACAAAAAATTGATGTTGTAGGCAAAAAATAAAAACAATGTGCTAAAAGATGCCAAAACTGGCCAATTGTTTTTTACACGGATTATAATTATTCTCTTTGTTCAAACTAACTTTCAAAAACTGTGTTTACAGTGTTGCATCCTGAGCCACCTTGATATCTGTTTATGAAATATCTTCTTCAACTATGTGACTTATTGCTGGTGTGCGTCCAAAACATATTTACCCCGACAGAAATGTTTTTCAACATGACGGCTGAAATATGCTCGAGAACTTCCTCAAGTGCCGTAGGAACTTTGATTTAGAAAGTTGTCAAATTGAACTGCGTGTAATTACCCATGCTCAAAGAACAAAGTAACTCTGCAAACTCAAAAGCATTCAAGCAACAAATTGTGCCCCTCCATGGATATACACATATATCATTTTAAAGAGAAACCTCTCCTTGGCTTCGGTAAAGCTGAAAATCCCTTCGGCCATAAAACGTTTACTCTTCCTGAACGTCAGGTGCCAACATTGTGGAAGTCAAGACAATAAACTCTCAACTGGGATATGTCGAGTTTGATTCATGCTCTGTGTCTGTGGGCGATGCCAATACATGTATTACAGTTTGCAAGTTCAATATGACATACTTTTGGATACTATGGAAATGTGTATCGCTGTTTATATCATGTCCACAGATTGGTAATGGACATGCACAAAGAAATATTTTTCAATCCTTTATATTAAATATATTTTTTATATTTTTCTGTTTGCTATCGCAGTGTTTTTATTGCATGTACAGCACTTTGGCTCGACCAAAAATCGTTTTTAAAATGTGTAAATAAAACTTGATTTGATATCTGCCATTTTGTTTTCCATGATTGCACCCTTTTTTTCTTTCGTTTTCGTTGGACATATTCCACCCTGGTTATAAAGAACAATTAGTTATGATTCAAATGCTACTTATGAGTTGAGGCAGAATTCACACAAATGTTGTTTTTTTTATGACATAATTTCCCCTTAGCCAATTTCTAAAGGATATTTAAATGAAAATGTAGGAAACAAATTCCAAAACCAAGATATAAAAATGAGTCGAAAACCTGGAAAATGTGGTTAGTTCCTGTCTACATGGTCCTAATGGACTCACTTCCCATCAGTCATTGTGTTTCTGCAAAAAAAGAAAAAGAGTAAAGTATACTCCTTTTACAGCCTGTAACCTTTTGCCCTCACTATGCATTAAAGCCTCATTGTATCCTTTTAAAAGCACTAAGGTTTTCATATTGAAAATGTTCCTTTTCTGCGTATGTTTAGCCTTCTGGCATTTCTGCTGACATGGTAAACCTTGGTGGCATCAAATTGAGCTATAACAATATTTATTATCCCTGTACACTGAAAACAGAATTATAGAGAGCTTAACCAATCCACGTGCCTACAATTTAATTAAGTCAACGTCACTGTGACCAATGGCTTATCTAGTATTTATGTAATGGTTGTAATACATGAGCTTGAGCTAGAAAAGCAGATATCCCTTAAGAAAAAGGGACTCTAAAGCATGTTCTTCTTATTAACCTAGCTTTGTTCATTGTATTATTATTCAGGCAGAATACAAAATGATTTGGAAAAAATCCCTGGAGGAAGATGAAGGAAGAAAACTTCAAACAGCACTCATCTAATTATTTTTTTAAATAATTGTCCTCTTATTTAAAATTTTCAAGAACAAGATCACAGAAATAATTGAACTGAGCCTGCAACTGATAAACACTCCCTTCTGCAAAGTTTTAAAAGATATATTTGTATTAATTTGCTATAAATTTAAGAACAAATTGTGATGAGGAATACATGCTAAAAAAAGATGGCCATCTCTCACATCTGGAATTTGAACATTGTGACAATGCAATGTAATGTTTTTTTTTCTAATCTCCCAATATGAAATCCATGTAGACAAAGCTGTTTGACCATATTTACACAATTTAGTTGTGTATATGTAATGACAATAAACCTTTGAATCTTTATAACAACAGATTTCTGATCATTCTGGAACTTTTGAAATATCACGTTTTTGGACTTTGAGTTTTCTTTTACAGATGTTGAAACCGAGCCTAATGGATCATGAAGATGTAAGAGATCCTATTCGTTCACATCGGAGGAGCTACAGCGAGTGATGATGGCTATATCAAAACTATTTTGCGTCTTGTCCCCTGTGCAAAGAGCCCTTCTCACTGAACACCAACATCAGAGAGCAGCCGGGTGATTTTCTATCCCCATGATACACATTACTCTGACTTTAATATCGGATGAAAGCAGAAATCCGGGGATTGTTGTCCAAAGGGCTGTTCATCCTGTAATCATGAGCAATTAGAGGAGCAGGAGTGCTTTCAGTGAAGGGGCGCCAATCTACTCCACAGATAATGGTGTTTCACATCCAAAATAACAAAAATAAGAACCAACGTTTTTTTTAATGTTATGGTGAAAGTTTTGATGTTGCTTATATGGAAATGTATCATTCTAGAGTGGGTTTCTAAGTGTGAAGAATCCCACCCAAGAGTATTAGGCCAAGGCATAATGTAAAACATTCATATATAATTAAAAAGGTTAACATTTTGCAATACGTTCAATCTTTCAGTGAATACGCAAACTCAAATGTAGTCCTAAAATGGTATTTCATTTTTTTTAAAACTTTTTTTTTACAATTTTTGTACTTAAAATAACAGATTGGATCTCTTATTTACTCTGTAATACATTTTATTTACTTTTATTTGATTAATTTTCTTAAAATTACGACTCATCTCTTTCTGTTAGGATCTGTCTGTGTTGTAGTTTTGTATGTCTGGTTATGGGTATTTTCATCCTTGTATATTGTCTGGTCCTTCTTCCTGTGTTTTTCCTCCCGTCGTTAGTTTCCCTGGTGTGTCTAGTTGTCTGATTGTTTTCACCTGTGGTCCTTGTGTTTCTCCTCCCCTGCCCGGCTGTGTCTCGTCTTGTGATTACCCCTTCCTGTATTTAGTCTCTTCCTGTGTTCAGTGTCGGTTCGTCTTGTGTTGTGAGTAAACTGCGGTGAGTGTTCTGTTCTGTCTCTGAATATTGTAGCCTTGAAATAAAGGAATTATTTTGTCACTTAAATCTGCATTTGGGTCCTGCTTCCTGCACACCGTAACACTTTCATTTGCTTTTACAAATAAAACAATATTTACTTTTATTTGATTTAAATTTGTTTCATAATTTAAACCTTTTTTAAAAAAAAATATTTCTTCATTTTCTCCCGCTATGCTTGGCCCTCTTAGTATTCCATACAAACAAAACCACAATGGTGTCGAAAAACCTTTTTTGTTTTACTTTCTACTTTTCTTTCCCATTTAACTTTATATTAGCCTTGTGAATCGTAACAGTTCAATTATCAAGTGTTTCAACTTCTGGCTTTGAAAATGCGCTTTTCAATTCTCTCCATTATATGCCATCTCTGTCTTTTACCGTTTATAACTGTGTCAGAGGTCTGCGTCTGCAAATCTCATGAGGTTTCATGCAGGTCACCCTTAAAAAAGAGATCTTTTGATCTCAAGGGGCTTCACCTGGTTAAATAAAGGCTACAAACAAACAATATTCATAATTTACTAAATTAATTCAACCCTGTCCAGTTTGTATCCCGTTTCCATTATAAAAACTAAATGTAATTTGCATTTAAAGTGTATGCAAATCACGTATCAAAACCAACTAATTTAAATTCTGTGTATTGAGTACTGCGCATCTCAAAGAAGATTATTACTTTACTGGAAAAAAACATAGGCAGGAAGAGAACATGAACATAATGTTGCCCTTTTCCCGTTTGTACGAGTGAGACGTTTGACAGCTTCCAGACTTATTGGAAGTGGACAAATGGAGAGCCCCGGTGAATTATGAATGAAGCACCTTGACTGATGGGCAGTAAAAATGTATGGCAGCACCTGTCTCCTCTGTGAGGTCCTTGAATCAATATACTGAACATTAAATACTACTTTCTGCACCGTATAAATTGTTTCAGTGCGACAATAAATTATGCTAATGTAGAAACACGGATGCACAATAAACAAAATCGTCCGATCGTTACATCCGAGATCTACAGAGTTGATGTCCGACCATAACGTTTTTTATTTTTGCCAAAGCTTCAGATCATGTCTAATAACTTTGGTGAATGTAAAGAAGAAGATAATTGTTTAAAATACTTCAGGACCATATTTTTGGCATAGACTGTTTGGAAGAAGTTCATTCACTGATTGGTTTGTTGAGTGCTGTTTTAATTAGTCGAGTTGTTGCCGATTATCTTGTTTTATTGGAACAAAAAGGGATTGGAGAGGGTGAAGCGAAGATCACCCCTGAGCAAGACATTTTAGGAAACCAAATTGTTTTGATTAACTTTCATGAACCAAAAAGATATGTAAAAGGTTCAAGAACCAAGACGAAAACATGGAGATCACCCAAACCGACTTTTAGTAATTGAGGCCATAAAATCATTAGGGAAATGTTTACTGAGGCAATGAATTAGGGTCATTTGTTCTACAATTGAACTATGTTTTGCAACCTAAAGGCAATGTTGGTTTAACTTTAGACCCGGAGTTTCTTCTGAGCCTACTCGAAGGGGACCATCATTTACACATTGAATATCTTGAGGTATTAAAAAAGACCTTTAACCAGCAATTGAAAGCAACAAATCATTAGGAATATGTTTCCTGAGATAAGGAATCAAGTGAGATGTTCGTTCATTTTCTCAGACTTCTTTTTGCAAACAGTGGAGGCACTTTCACATTAGCTTTACTTTTGAGACCCAGAGTTTGTGCGTTCATTTTCAGTCTGCAACAAGATGTATCCCTTTTCTATAATGTACAATTGTGTTTTTCATTTAAAAGATATATTTCAGATGTCTAATGACCTTGGTGAATTTCCTTCTTTCTTAACAAAAGTTATAGGGACAAACATTCCTCGTCGGCCACAAAATGAATCACGTCTGAGGTTTTCTTGTAAAAAACTTTTATTACATTTCTCACAGAATGAAAAAAAATCATAATTAATCAGATATTCATATATTAAACTTTTGAGAACAGAACAGAAAAAGTGCCCCGTTATCACACAACCTAGCCAAACCTTCACTTTGGGCTGATCACTACGGCAGCCGCTCTAAATGACCAGTCACAGCAGCCTGAGAAACGCAGCACTATTTCACTGTAGCTAATTCATTCTGAGTCAACATCCCTTCCATATCATGCATTAGCTAATTAGCTTTAGCTGCTGACTACAGCTGCACAACAGTCACAGATCTTACTTCAGATACTGGCTTATAAATTAACCAACTGGATTAAATGTCCCCGTCAACATAATGACATCATACACAAAAAAAGGCATTGGTCAAATGTAGGCACCTGTTCCAGGGAATACAAGTTGCAGGCCTAAGTAAGACAAAAGTTTAGTTTGAGATTTAAAGAAGGAATTATAAATAGGCATTAGAGATAGGAATCAGAACCCCTAAAAAAATGATTAAGAACCCAAAACCGTGTAAAAATAAATAAAAAAACTAAGTTCACAGTAATACTATGTAAATTGGCAGTAACCACACGTGCTGGTTATTTCACAATCTTGAAAAACATACCAAAAAAAGCCTCCAGCAAACACTTAGGACGTGTAATGCACTTGATATCTGATCATGAAGTAGCTCCACACATTGGATGGCAGATGGCTTTGGTGGTTAAAGCCTCTGCAGTAAAACACATTCACATGCTCTTTTATTTCTTCCGACAATGAATCCTGCACGCACACATGTACGGAAGCCCAATGAGGCAAGGGGGAAAGAATATTCTGGTGATCCATTTTCTGATCAAAATCGTTTTGTCTCTTTTGTTTATGACTCAAGAACAGAACAAAAAAGGTTTTTGATGGGATCATTTTGTGAAAATTGGTGAACAAAAGTGTTTTGTCAGGTGTTGTAAATCTAATTTTCTCCATAATAGGCTGAAGTGCAACTCCATCCCATGTATGAAATAGGATTAAAAGCATTTTAATGTTTTCTTTCACACGTTCTTCATGCACTCTAAATCCGAGGCACAGAACTCGCTGGAATAATGTAACAGCGTACACTGAGCTTTTAAAATGTAGTTTTTCTAATTGTACTCGCGAAACGTGGAATAACATACAGAAAGATAAATTCCGTAAATGTTTTCCCTTATGGCGATTACAATTGTTCATGTCATAGGTGGTCTTGTCTTGATTAAAAGGTTTTGTTTTTTCATATCATATACAAATTATCATCATTATTATATATGCTTCTAAAGCGCTTTGAGCACCAGGAAAAGCGCTATATAAATGTAATATATTATTATTATATTTTCTAACTGTGCTATAACTAAATGTTCTTCTTCAATGTATTTATGGGTCACAATCAAGGTATAATTAATTAAATGATTAAAGTTCATTTCTATCCAAACCAAAGACATGACAGTAACAACATGTACCATCTTAATAAATGCAGGACAGACAACTAGTTCCAGCAGATTTAGAAAATGAGTCAGCATTTTTTTTCTCACTTGCGTCTCAGGGCCTCCGTACGTATGCAAGACTCCCTTTCAAATTGGAGGGAATACATCTCCAAAAGGCCAAATTTGTTTAAGTATGGTTGCTAGCCATCTGTTAACAGACTGCTGCTGTAAACTGTCTGGCTTGAAAGGTTGTATCCATGCTATGAGTTAGAAAAACAGGAGACATTCAGACATTCCTCCTCTGACCACACACAACTAAAAGTCTCCAACCTCATCAGCTAAGTGAGGCGGTCTACAAGCTTATCGTCTTACAGTACAAAATCTTTAAATGAGACTCAAAAGATGCTCAGTCAGTCCAAGATTCGACGTCCTAAAGTCCCTCTGGCTGAACAGGAAGTGTGCGTTGGCCTGGCCATGACGTATTTGTGGAGATCCTGATGTCAGACACAGATGGCAATGTTTTTTGTGAGAGGTCCGTATAAAAACTATACAGTGTTGTCTGCCATGTCCGTTCCCTCTGTTCTCTGCTACCTGGACGCGTCGGGGATGAGTCTCTTAAACCATCCGCCCACGGCCACGTCCACTCGCAGCACCAGAGCGACCCCGATTAGCAGAGACACGCTGCTCACCAGGAACCCCGAGGCCTCAAACATTAACCTGCGGGGAGAGAACAGAGGACATAGTAGAGTAGAGTCATACAGTATATCATTCTAAACAGGATTTATTCAGTCCATACTATAAAGATCTATGATTTTATATTTTTAAATAGGGAACCTTAACATGATTTCCCCATTTAAGATGTAAAAATACAAAAACATGACAATATTTGAACAAGAAAATTATTCCAGAAATGTTTTTTTCAAATTATTTATAAGATCTAGATATTTGTTGAAAAATAAGTCCTCCCATCCTTAAACACCTTAACAGGGTTTTACACATAAAGTAAAAAACTATTAACATTGTGTATTCTGTTCAGGCTGTGTGTTAGTTTGTTAGCTTACTAATATTATCTTAGTAAGAGATCCAGGGTACAGTTACAAATCTAAAAACTGCACAATGTCTGATCTGCGCTCAAGATTTCAGGTTTCTTTGCCAGTGTTATTCTTTCTCTGTCTTTTCTTTGTGTAAAAGACAGTGATTGGGTTCCGAATTCAAAGTACATATGATTTTTCCTGGAACATAAATCCCTCCTGTCAGTGAAGAGATGCGCCTGCCCTCTAGTGGCAAACTTTGCGTGTCAGAATAGTCAAGGTCGGACATGTCAGGGACATAAACTAAAGAAAAACAAATGTTTGAGTAAAGGGGATCTTGAAAAATGTGTTTCTCCATTCTGTTGAAGTCTCAATGTGATGCATTCTGATGAATGACAGGAACTTTGCTTTCTGGCTAAGCAGATGTAAATAAGGACACGAACATGGTGTTACTATCAACCACTGTAATATATATTTAACAGTCTTTCCTGTAAGAGAGTTTGTGTGAGCTGGAAAATTCATTCGGGCACTTACTTGGGTGCGAAAACCTTCCACACCATTAGGTGTCTCCTGAGGATAGCAGCAGCACAGACCGAAGAGAAGACCTGTGAAGGGACGTGATGTGGTTAAGGTACACGGAGGAAGCAAGGACTGCATGCAAGACGTCAAATGATTATTAAACATCGATTACAAAATATCCCAAATGTTTTAGATTGGTGACAAAATGTATTGGTACAGTAACAGATGCTGCCGTAATGTGGAAATCTATCAATCATCAGAATACTTTTATTTATCCCACTTAAATCATGGGTTTCGTGTCACTTTCTCCACTTAATGAAAAAAACGATAAATAAAAAAATATGAATAAAAATAAGAAATTAAAGAAGCACTTAGCAATAAAAGAGGCATTTATATACGGTAGTGACATTTCCAATAAATAGATGAACAAAAATAAATTCCTATTTTTGTATACATTTCTTTAAGTAAAATGTCAAATAAAGATAAAAAAATCGGTATACAAACACTAGAAGTTAAAGTAGAATTGCGCACATTTTACGTCGATATAACACGTACAATACAACATATAGAGATAAGATTCAAAAGAAGCAAATGCAGTAGCACTTATGGGTTTGGCTTGTAAGCTAATGTTCTTACAGGATTCTTGCCTTTTTTGTATCGTCATGGTTTAATACACCTATTGTAAGTTGCGTTGGATAAAAGTGCAGCTAAATTGCAGTTTAAAAGGGTTCGGCTGCTCATGGTGACGAATATATTTGGTATACTGACCGGACAAAAGCGTGTCACGGTCTGTAGACGTACCTGTGCTCCGAGAATAAAGAGGTAGCGTGTTGCGAGTTGCAGCAGGGCGGAGGTGAACTGCTGGGGGTGTTCTCTCAGTCTCATCTCCATCACAGCGTCCTCTCCCTCGTCCCCGCAGGCTCTGCCCCCCCGACTCCCACGCACCTCACACACCAGGGGCCAGAAGAGCAGCAGCGGACAGGCCACTGCACAGAGACGTGTAATCAGGTTCATCTTAACTTTACAGTTCTATACATTAGTTGCTTTGTTTGATTTCATTTCTTTAAAAAATCATTCCAAGATGTCTAATTTCCAGTGTGTTTTATCATTATAATAAGATCACTTAATTGTATTTAAATTCATTAAAATACATTTCTGGTATAGGATATAAATCCTTCACATCTCCAACTAGTAAAACATATCACAATTTGGCTTCATAATGTTACAAAATGTCCTTTTGTTGACCCACATCTTTTCTGTTTTACTGTTAATAACTACCTGAGAACAAGATGTGAGAGGCGAAGGTGTTGAGGGTGACCAGAGAGGCGGGCAGCAGGGTGCCTGTGTGTCCGTCAGGGAACCCCACGAAGGCTGCGCCCCACTGGATGGAGGGGAAGGTGGGGAGGTGTCCTGTGGCGTGGAAGAACTGCGTGGCGGCCAGAGACCAGAGCACCACCGGGGTCCAGGGGACGTTAAAGTCAGCTGTGGGCAACAGAGAGGAGGTGTTCAGTGGAATTAACTTGACAAGTAAAAAGTATATAATGTGTTCTTTCAACACAAACAACAATTGAAATAAAACTTGAGAATTGAGAGCAGATTTTGTTCTTCTCTTGCCTCACAGGGCTCTCTTACACGAGACAAATAACGCCCAGAAGAATAGACGTGTGATTGTGTGAATCTCACCAGAGAAGGTTCCCTGCAGGCTTCGGAGGGTGGTGGAGGACGCGTGAATGTGCAACAGAGCTCCCATTTCCAGCAGCAGCAGGAGGAAGGACAGAGCCATGCCCTCCGGGTGCAGCAGCAGCAGTCCAATTCCCAGCATGCCGCAGAACAGCATCAAGGGGGCCGAGTAGACTGTCCCCAGCCCGTAGGCCTTCACCGCGGGGCTGTTGTCCACATCGCCCATGAACTGCTCGTCGTCGTCCAGCGAGCGACGCATGCGCTGGTAGATCTGCGGGATGAGGTGGTGCAGCTCGGCCTGGGTGCTGATGCCGGTGCTCGCTCGGTAGCGGGACGGGGTCTGAGACTGACCCCGGGCTGGGGTTTTATCCTTGGGCTTTATGAACACGGTGAGGGGATCCAGCCAGATCAGGAACATCCCGAGTCCCAGGAGGCAGAAGGCGGCCCTGGGGAGCACCAGCTGGCCCAGGCCGATCAGCTCCGACAGGTTCCTGAAGCTGTCCTCGGGGGTGGCGCTGACGGCCCAGTGCAGCGCCAGGCACACGGAGGTCAGAGGGAGGATCCAGTGCGCCGTGAACACCGCCCCGCTCGAGGCGTTGAGGTTGCCGTAGTGGCGGAGGCAGCGTTTCAGCAGGTACGTCCACAAGCCCAGAGAGACGACGGAGAGGACGTAGTGGAGGTTCTTCAGCTGGTTGTCCTGCAGCCGGGAGAGGGGGGAGAGGAAGGGGGACGGCTGGCAGGAGCCCTGTTCCTCCCGACACGCGTGGAAGGACAGGGAGAGGTAGAGGCTGCCAACCAGGACACCGAGGCAGGCGAGGAGGGTGCCGCTCTCCTTCCTAACGGTCGACGGGGACAGGGCCGGGGAAGGCAGGAAGCCAGCTGCCTTCAGAGGGTCGTGGATGGGGGGGAGGAGCAGGCCGTCCCAGTTGAGATGGATGGGAATGTAGAGAGCCAGAGAGAACACCAGGAAGGTGACGGCCCGACCTTCTGCGATCACATAGCTGTCGGAGAGCAGCGAGGCGCAGCGGAGGAGCGGGACCAGAAGAGACGGGAGGAGGAGGCGACGCGGGGTCAGCCAGCTGGGACTCTTCGGGGCTTTAAAACCGTTTTTTTCCTCGGGGACAGCTCTGGAACGGCGGGCTCTCCAGAGGAAGACGAGCTCTGAGCTGAGGGCGGCAGCAGCCAGGCACCACGACGCCTCCACGTAGCCCTGCGTGCCAATCTGACCGATCGCCACGCAAACGCCCGCAATAAAAGCTACGCGAACCGGCGGCTTTAAACCATGACCGCTCTCCCCGGATCAAGACGAGGGACAGCTCAGACACGATGAAACACGTCAGGCAGGCGAACGCCAGGATGGCCAGGCCCGCCGCCATCTTCAGCGGGTTGAAGCGGGCCCAGGTGGCGCGGCAGGTGGCTCTGACCGAGGTGAGGTAGGCCTGCAGCGAGGCGGCCAGCCGGGGGGAGGGGGGGCGGCCCTCTCTGACCATGGCGAGGTACTCAGAGGAGAGGCGGGAGAACTCCGACTTCAGCTGAGAGAGGCTCTCCGCCGGGATGTCTTTGGCCATGCCGGAGTACGTCTCCAGGAAACGGTTGACCTTCAGGAGCAACAAGGTAAGGTGAGGTGAATTCGAGAAACAGACAAAACATGTTCTATATGTTTGGAAAATTATTTTTTTAATTTTTTTAAATACTGTATTTAAATTCAGAATTTAAAAAGGTACTTTTACTTTATTTGAGTATTTACTTTAAATGAAACTTAATTCCCCTACATCTTAGAGGTAAACATGGTACTTTGTGCTCCTCTACATTAGTATGACAGCTTTATTTACTTTTCAGATTCACATTTTTCATCCCCTTCCTATCCAATGAAAACCACTTATTTCCTGGTTTTGAATATTTATGATAATCTGAAGGAAAAAGTGTCACTTTACAGGTAAGAAAGTTCTCCTTCTTAAACTAAACTAACCAATTTATAATCAGTTGGGAAATGCATCTTAACAAACAGCTCATGAGAGAAATGTATGAGTATCTTATAGAATATGATGCACCTTGATGCAATGCTTCTTCCATCCCTGGTGAAGATATTTAAATGGTGTCCTCTGATGGTCCTACCTGTTTAGCATTGATCCACAGCGCCTCCAGCTGGCTGAGACCTCCTACTGCACCTCCTGTCTGCCCGTGGGGGGAGAACACGGGCAGCAGGACCTGGCCGACGCTACTGTACGGGATGGGGACCCCCAGCAGCAGAGCCAGGGTGGGCACCAGGTCTGTTTGCGGCACCACGTCCGGTTCACTCTGCAAAGGTGAGAGAATAACAGCCCAGGGTGTTAGGATGATTCAGCTTAAACAACTGGTAGAACACCCATTAGTAATGGCTGGGGTTCTGTATTCATTTACATCTACCTTCTGAAATAAGTCATTACTTTGCCAACAATGTAATGTTGTTCAAACTTTAAATAGATTCTGTCTAATGAAGCTTCACTGACAATATGACGTGTTTTTACGCCTGTGCTCATACTTTACATTTCATCAGCTGAATTTTGTACGTGATAGCTAAGGGGCAAGACATCTGTGAGCAGTTGACGAATCCCAACAGAGCTGGGCAGCTAACCAATCAGAGCAGACTGGGCTCTGGTTTCAGACAGAGGGTGAAAAGAGGTGCTGCAGCAGTATGAGGAAAGTAGAGACCTTTTTAAACATTGAAGCACAAATGACAATGAGCATAATATATCCTCTTTAAATCACTGTACCTATTTAGGCATTTTTTAAATTTAGTTTCAAGAAGATAAATCTGCAGGGAAAGTTCATTTTCAATGTTTGCCGAATGCAAACTGCCTATAATTACTTAACTAGTTGAAAGCTTGGATCAATTTGATTAATCTACAAATAGATGTTTGAGCACCTAACTCCACAAATCTCCCAAAGGTTGGCGTAGTAAATTACCGGCAAGCAGATTATGAATAATGACTCCATTAAATGAAGAAGTCATTTGCCACTGCGGTGGTATTTATGAGATTGCTAGATAAGTTGAATCATGAGGAAAATTGAGTCTCTGTGTCTAATAGGAATTCATACTAGATGTAGGAAGAAGCTAACATCGTCAGATAGACAGCATTTTTTGTTCTTCTGAAAATGTTTATTATATTTAACCAGGTAAAAGTCTCATTGAGATTAAAATCTCTTTTCCAAGAGCGTCCTGGCCAAGAAGGGCAACATGAACAAAGTTACAATAGATAAAACACAGAAATAATATTATGTATTGGTTATTATCTTCTCTTTGTCCATTTATCCTCCACAATAAACTGAAATAATCTTTCTTAAGATTAATTAATTAAGTGCATGACATTAAGGATTTTGGGAGATCTAAGCTAATAGAGATTGCCCTGAAAAATGCGCGCGGACGAAATGACGCACGAAGGGTTTGGGGGGGCCTCCCCCTGGAACATTTAGATGTTTGCAGGTCTTCGATGCTGTCTGGTGCATTCTCTAGACTGAATTATAAGATGAACCACCACAATATGATATTGTACAATTTCATTCTTCATTTCACTTTGTTTGTTTGCATGAATTCTTGTTTGTGTTTGCTCGCTTGCATGCCAGCTGACCCAGAAAGCGACGCAGGTTCTGGTCCAGGCTCTCGTCATCTCACGCCTAGACACTGCAACTCCCTCCTGGCTGGTCTACCTGCATGTGCCATCCGACCTCTGCAGCTCATCCAGAATGCAGCGGCTCGTCTGGTCTTCAACCTTCCTAAATGTTCCCACACCACTCCGCTCCTCCGCTCCCTTCACTGGCTTCCGGTAACTGCTAGAATCCACTTCAAGACACTGGTACTTGCGTACCATGCTGCGAATGGATCTGGCCCTTCCTACATCCAGGACATGGTTAAACCGTACACCCCAGCACGTGCACTCCGCTCTGCATCAGCCAAACAGCTCACTGCACCCTCGCTGCGAGGGGGACCCAAGTTCCCATCAGCAAAAACACGTGGGTTTGCTATCCTGGCTCCAAGATGGTGGAATGAGCTCCCCATTGACATCAGGACAGCAGAAAGCTTACACACCTTCCAGCGCAGACTGAAAACTCATCTCTTTCGACTCCACTTCGAGCGTTAGAACTACTAACAAAGAACTGCTAACAGAGCACTTATATAGGCTACTAATAAAGGACTGGCTTATCTAAAGCCAGTTGAGTAGCACTTGAAATGTTTGGCTCTATGAAACCTGATGTACTTATATGATTCTGTTTTCTTCAAGGTTGTATCTTCCTGGTCGAATGCACTTATTGTAAGTCGCTTTGGATAAAAGTGTCAGCTAAATGTAATGTAATGCCCTGCATAGCTATAAGAAATACTTAAGTTGTTGGTCAAGACATTAAAAAAGTAGAAAACATTACATTCAGTTATAACTGCCAAAACAAACATTATTTACACTATTATGGCCCCTGTTAAAAATGTCTGTAATGTTATCTACTGTTAGTCTGGGAGACCTCGAGTGTACACTGGCCGGCTTATTAGAAATTAAGAATTGGTAAGAGGTCGAAAACCACCCTGAAATAACTGTTTTATACAATTATTAATTACAAACAAATTGCACGTTCAGGGTGGTCATGGAGTACTTGAATAATGACCTGCATGTGAACATATTATTGCATTTCATGACCTGCACAACAAATTAATGACCTGCATCATGTAATACAAATAAATAGTACTCTGCCATTTATGCCTGAGAATTAATAAAGAAATGACTTAGTTTACTGATTCGATTCATTGTCCGGTAGTATTCATTGCAGAGTCTCAAGTCAGGATGGGCAAGTTCAAGTCAAGTCCAAGTCCTAAACTTTGACAAAACGAGTCATAAACAAGTCATTATGTGCTTTTCACCAAATGTAATGACATCGATCAACAGAATAATACTTAATAATCAAATTGCTCTTTATTAGTCACATTAATCATTTAATAATCCATTTTCTATCTGCTGGTAAAGTAACGTGTTTTTTTCTATTTGAAGAGGGATCAGTAAGGTAAGGCTACCGTGACGGTTTGATTCAGAAGGAGTTTAATGTATAAGATCCCTGATGTTGAGGTAACCACAATGTTTATTTCCACTGTGTACAACATGTTATAAGGGACCCACAATATATCTTTATGCAAGGGATAATGTGCAGCGAGGCGGACTTTTTAACACCTTTTTAAGACCACTTTGAATAGAATTTAAGACCTATTTCATGGCAATAAAGTATGAAGGAAAATTGATATGAAAGAAGAAATACGTCCCATAATTACTTACAAAGTAAATGTATTCATGTTCAACATAAGAACAGTGACTGAACACAACAGCGTAACAGTACAGAACTGTGTTAGCGTGTTGGACAAAAAGTGTGTGTGTGTGTGTGTGTGTGTGTGTGTGTGTGTGTGTGTGTGTGTGTGTGTGTGTGTGTGTGTGTGTGTGTGTGTGTGTCTGAGAGAGAGTGACAAGAGCTATATTCAGAGCTCTGCTGCCTTGGCTACACTATTTCATCGTTGCTGTTGTATGATTGGTGTTTAGCTGCGGTATTTAGCGTCTACAGCACCTCCGCTTTTAGGGTTGACGTAGACCCAAACTTCGCCCGGAGGTCCCCCGGTGTTGTTGCGGGAGCTGCTGCATTAGCTGCACTAGCTAACGCTACATTAGCAAAACAAACACTAATTTATTTTGCAAAAGATGCAGCGGGCTTCAAACACGTTCCCTCCACTGGTTTCAACCAAGCACTAAATTAGATGTTTTCCAACCAAATACGGTTGAACTTTCCCATATTTATTTGTAAGTAGATTCGAAGATAGGCTACATGAGCTGAAGCTTGGTTGCTAGGTTACTAGCTGGGTGTTCTCCAATAAGGGGCCGGGGGAAACAAAGTTAGTGATTACTGGTTCCATGTTGATTTAATTCAATACAAATTGTTGGGGGGAACTGAAAGGCTATTACCGTACTGGTTACTTTGCAGCCCGGACATTTCCCCCAAAACACATTTAGACGCTATCGCAACATAGAAGTACCTTTCAAATCCCATCATTTTTAAGACCTTCTAAATCATATTTAAATGTATCAAATGTAAGACTTTTTAAGACTTGTTAAGACCCCGCGGGAACCCTGATTGTAACTTTTTTTAAATTGTCTGAACTTCTCCCACCTCTGACAATAAATCCTGAGTGGTTACCAAAAAAAAACCCTGCTCTGAAGGTTATTTTCATTTTACAAATCCTGCACTCAGCTTTGCTTTCTCCAATATCATTGAAAGGCAGCCAGATGCTGCTTCTTTTTTCGGCTTTCGCTCATTTCTTGACTTTTTCCGACGCGCTTGCATTTAAATCCGTCTCCCTGTCGCTCTGTGCAGCTGGCCTGTACCACTACACATGCTGTGCCCCCCACCCTTCTTTCACATAATGGTATGATCCTAGTGTGTCCTCGCATATGATTGGCCGCATGGTGGCCCAGCTAAACAAAGACCCGCCCCTGCCTGCAAGGATTCTCAGCAAGAGTAGGAGCGGCTGAAGATTCTGCTTTCCCCGACGAGAGTCTGCTCTTCTAGCGGCAGCTCGCGATCGGCGTGTTGGAGACCTCTGAATTAAATGATCAAGTCACCTCAAGTCAGAAGGCTCGAGTCCAAGTCAAGTCCCGAGTCATTGGTGTTCAAGTCCAAGTCGAGTCGCAAGTGTTTTGTGATTTTGTCAAGTCGAGTCTCAAGTCATCAAATTTGTGACTCGAGTCTGACTAGAGTCCAAGTCATGTGACTCGAGTCCACACCTCTGATTCATTGTATAGAAATCGTATTGACCGGGCCAGCCCGAACATCGCGGAGTTGGTCGAACGAATGCCTCCTCATCCGGAAGCTGACCGAGCAGACCCGAGCAGCAGTCGAGAGGAGCCGAGCGCATCCGCGAAGCACACAAAATGGTGACGTCCATGAAGAAAGACGGGTTGACCGACTTTTGGCAACTTTTTCATTGTTTTCCAACCGATGTGACCGCTGCCAGGCGCTGACACGTCTCCACAATTGCCATAATAGATTGCCCGATCGGGCAACCAGCAGGTGAGGCTTCATTGCCCGAGCTAAATACTAGATTGCCTCGGGCCATCGGGCAGTCGTTAATGTCGAGCCCTGTAATTAGCTAGAAATTCATCTTATTGAGCTCTTGATCATAAAATAAAAAAGGGGCCATATTATGCTAATTTTCAGGTTCATATTTGTATGGTGTGTCTCTAACTCTGACATGTTTACATGCTTTAATGTTCAAAAAGGTCTTGTTTTTCCTCATGCTGGATGTTAGCCTTGGCAGACCATTAAATGCACACAAACCTATAGCACACTACAGGAAAGGGAAAAGCATAAGAGGGCCTCTCTAAAACCGGCGGTGCTCTACGGACCTGGGTTGGCGGTCCGGGGAACAGAGGGGAGGGACTGTAGAGGAAGATGGCAGCGTCCGTCTCCTTCTGACTTTCCCCGCCGTGATCCCCCGTGTCCGTCATCCCGTGATCTCCCATCACCACCAGGAGGGTGTCGTTCTGCAGGCGGTCGATCACAGACCTGGAGGGAAAACGGGAATATGGTCAGAGGGATTTCAGGGAGAGACTCATCAAAGATGTCTCGGATGTGTTATTCCTGACCTGATGACCCCGTCCATCTGCGTCAGCTTGTCCGCCATGGCCGGGTGGTCGGGGCCGAACCTGTGACCGCAGTGGTCCACTCCGAGGAAGTGAGCGACCAGGACATCCCAATCCTCGCCCACCACTGAGAAAACCAACAGCAAGTGACAGATGGAGAGGTGTGAAGCGCGAGTGCGATACGAGAAGGCTACGGAAGTGCAGAGGTGAATACATACTAGTGGAGTAGAGGTGCTGGAGGATGCCGTTGTCCACCGTGTGCAGATCCTTCACGTTGAAGGAAGGGAAGGGCAGCGAGCGGTGGAACTTCTTCGGAAACAGATTCTCCCAAGTGTCGTCGCCCATGAAGACAACGCGCTTGCCTGTGAAGGGAGTTCAAATCAGAGCATATGCCATCAGTGACATTGACTTGGAAGATTTTGAGGTGTGATAAAGCAGTGGTTCGCAACTTTTTCAAGTTGTGACATCCCAGAATAATCCTGTCTGTGTTTGCAAATCTCCACCCTACCAAGCAAAGGCTTTGATTGCTCATAAACTGTCTGCTCTACAGTGGTAGATTAACTAATATGTGCTAGCAAGTGGTTTAATGTTTTTTCGTGTCTCATCACCTTTGGCATATGATTTCAGTAGGCACTAAAGCTCAAACTAAATTACATTGATCACAAGTTACAACATTGTAGGCGATGCAATTTAAAAGCAATTGACCATGTTTGTTTTTTTTACTCCACAACTATATGGCGACCCTCAGGAATAATCTAACGACCCAATGACTGAAACCAATGTCATAAAGTATGAATTAAAACATTAAAGATGGCTCCATTCCACTTGTCGTGCCACTCATTCATGCAGGAATCTATTGAGGAAATCTATTGGGACGAAGCCATCATTAACGATATTATCCACACCTGTGCTTGTCCTGCCCTACCACAAGCTTCCATTGGAGCATAGTCAGCAGAGCAGCAGCAGCCCTTTGATGGCTTTAACCTCCCCTTAACAGGCTGTAAAGAACTGTCAAAATAGATTATCTTCTTCAATTCTACAGAACATCCTAAATGAGTGTCTTGCAGAGGACACATGATAAAGACATCTGTGTATCTACTCACCCACTTGCCCAAACTGGTGGATGAGGTTGTCCTCCAAGATGGCACTGGATGCAAAGTTGTTGCCTACATCCACAAAGGTAGGCAAGGAGCCAGTGGTGAAGCCCTTGATCCTCTGCATGGTGGTCGTAGGTGGGTCAGCTCGGAAAGGATACAGGCGGCTGTGGGAAGGCCTGGATGTGACTGTCTCCTCCAGCACGGGCAGCTTGTTCTCATAAGGTCTCGGAGACGTGTTGTTGGGGTCAAACCAGGCGAAGTCAATCTTGAGGGCGTCGATGATGAGGAGGACTGCCCGGCGGAACCGAGGCTGGACCCGGCAGAAGTCGGCCGGTTCCTCCCCGGGCTGCATCACGTCCCCGGGCTGCAGCACGTCCCCGCAGGTACTGGTCCGGTTCACCTCCAGCCTCACCAGCAGGAACCCGCCGACGAACAGGTAAATGCCCACAAAGTACACCGCACACAGCCAGAGGAGCAGGGAGAGCACTGGAAGCTTCTTCATTCTGCACACATACAGGTTCAAGCAGAAATACAGTCAAATAAACCTGTCTATGGGGCTAACAAGATGCTAATGCTAGTAACATTGAAAGAGACCGTTAGTAAGTTGTTAGCTGCGGCTAGCTTGTGTTAGCTCTTGTCACTGACCTTGCAGCAGTCGGGTTTTCTTCCTCTCTCTGCCAGAGGGCGGATGTGAGTGTGTGTGTGTTTAGTAACAACACAAGGGTACAGGTGTCTCAGGTAAATAGAGAACGGCGCGACACCCCCTTCACCTTCATTGGGACTCCGGTACGATGAGATTAGAGGCTGGTGACAGCAGCTAGGAACTTCAGCGTGCGTGCAACCCGGCGGAAATATGAGGACGGTGGTTTTCTGTGTAACGCAGAAATGTTGTTTGTGTTTTTTTCCCTACACCCGGACTTTCAGACAGACATTTCGCTCCACTGTTCGCTTGCAGGGCCAGGGGTGTAGTAAATAGTAATACGTTAACATTTAGCTTTCTTTGTTTTATATAAAACATTTTATTAGTTAGCCTGCTGCTTCTATTACTAACTTTTTGAGTTGCCTCTTTAACATGGTTGTAGAGAAAGTTCTTGTTGACGCCGTCATCATGGGCTTTACCCTTAAATATGCCATGTTATAATAAACAGAAGGAAACTTAAATTGGATAGTGCTGAACTGCTTTATTATAATTTAATACGCAAAACAATTTATAATGCAAACCGTAGTAGACTGTAACTACAAGTTTCCTGTAAGGCAAAGAAGAGGGCTGAACACACAGATAGGAGAGCGAGGACGTGAGTAAAGAGGTGTCCCTCCGTCATTATGTTGAGGAACCAAATTCAGTCCACTGCGAATTGTAATCTTGTGACAATGTACCTAGAACAGATATACTTTGTTTGTTTAGATGATTTTGAATGTAAAGACATTCAATTTAAAGTATTTCCCATTTACAATACTGAAGCATTTATTTTGTTGTCTTATAGTTTGCCAAATATTCCCGACTACATTTACAATACCATGTATCCCTATAATAATGAACCCTGGCAAGTTCAACATACCTCTACTGATTTAAAACAATAGTCGAGCATTTATACATTGATTTATTGACACTCAGACCAAATTAAACAACTTTTTTACATTGTATTGTCATGGTAATTGTACATTGGCGAACCAAAAAAGTAACCCATAACATGGAGGGCAACTTTAACATATTTTTTCAAATTATAATGTAAGATTTCATTCATTTACAGTCAAGGGTTCCCAAACATCTGAAGAAGTCCAAGTTTTTCTTTAGGATCGTCTATGCAGTATTCTTCTAACGTGTATATTTTCAAACGTAGCCTACTTAGTCTAATTCCACTTCACAAATCTTTGTTTCTTGTACTTCATGAACCTCATGACATATGAGGTGAATAAAAAAAAAGAAGACAATTATTGGACATTTGTTCCTATAGGGCCGGCTGTGTATTTACAATTAACTAATAAGGTATTGTTAAATAAAAGTTTGGGGCTCTCTGCTGGAACTGCTACCCCCGCGACCCGACCACGGATAAGCGGGAGAAGATGGATGGATGGATGGGTATTGTTAAATAATATAAGTAGATACTGGATAAGGGTTGCTTTTAGGGTGATGCTTTTTGTGAATCAACTTAATTTTGTAAAACTTATCAGCATTATGAAGCAAACAGTCAGACATCACATGTAACTCAAAGCTGCTGGCCCCAATAAGGCTGAAGACATTATTACAAACCTGAAAGCTTATGTAAGACAGCCCTCAATATCAGTATCAAAAGTCAAATACATTTAACAAGATTGTGTGTTTTAATTATATTTTGAAACCTTAAGTCCAATTGAGGTCATGTAAGTACAAATAATTAACGTATGATGTTAAATCATTACTGCACGACCGTATTTTGCACCCAGAAGCTGGTGAATCTCAAAAACCTGACATCTATTTCTCCCTCTCGCCAGCCAGCCAAAGTCACTGTTGTGAGAATATTTGGCTAAAAATGTGTTAATTTCCCAATCAGACAATAACGAAACGTAAAGAATAGTCAGTGAAGATTAGAAATCCTCTGAGACAGGACATGATTTTCCCCAAGGCAAAACATTCCTGAAGTGTTTAAAGTTGTCAGTTTTCCTTCTGTCCTGTCAGTTGAAGCTGTGTGAAGCTTTTCTCACGGCGATGCCCTGGAGTCCCAATAACTGAAAACATAACTGTAGCTGCTTGTGGTTCTGTGTCAGTAGAGTTCATTCTGTGTCCGCTGAGTCCTGCTATTGATGTGGTTTGTTCCCATCATCATCATCACTCTTCTTCTCCTCCACTACATGTGTGCTCGTCTTTGCCAATGAGCTGTAAATGGTCATAGCCTGAGTGCAGGAGGACAGAATGAGAACAATTATTGCTATGCATTAAAGACAACAAGAGAGAATCATTCTGGTGACTAAAAACACAAGTTTCAGTGTACAACATTGACACTTGTCAAACTCAGACAGCAGTTAGATTTCACTTTATTTTATCTTTAATTAGACATTGTACTTTCACTTAATAAATGTTACTTTTAATGTGTTTAAATAACAATACTGCACATATTTTATTATTACAAGTACTTTGCAATAGTATAGTGCACGTCGTTTTTTTTGTATATCCAGATTTCATGTAAATAATGTTCTGTCTTATTTTATTTTGTAAAGCACTTTGAATTGAACCGTGTGCTGAAAGGTGCTATATAAATAAACTTGCCTATATCGTAACGTAGTTTATATTTTATTTGTTCGGTTTTTTTTCTTGCTTTTTATCTTCTTTAACTGTTTATGTATGCACAATGTACACCAAGACAAATTCCTCGTATGTGTCAACTTATTGGCATAAACCTGTTTCTGATTCATATAAATAGTTTGTTTCTATCTTTTTATTTTATTTAGCTTTTCTTTATTTCATTGTAAAATGAAGAAAATGTCACACAACCCCTTTTTCCCTGGATAATAAAGTACTCTGAGATAATGATGCTGGTGTACGTACCTGTGTGACCATGCTGCTGATGTCCCCGGTGCTGGAGGGCAGGAGGATGGTGTTGGTCTCTTTGGCGAGTTTGGAGAAAGCTGACACGTACTGCTCAGCCACGCTAAGGGAGGCCGCCGCGTTTCCATTCTGTGCATTGTACAATAAAAGGTAAATACATCAACTTTGAAAAATAAGACAATGGTCGTATAGAGCTCATTGAACAAGATAAACTCCTCTTCACCTGCTCGGTCAGAGCGTCTGACAGCATACGGATAGCCTTAGACTTAGCCTCTGCTTTGGCCAACACTGCTTGAGCCTCTCCTGCGGGGAAACACAGTAATACTTTGTCCATTAATAACGTCTCACTTGTGTCCTGATCAGTGAAGCACACTTCTGTCTGATCCAAAGAAATCCTGTAGGTCATAAGGGCAACACTTCTGCAAATGTTGACTTGTTATCTCTAAATAAGTATCAAGTCTTTATTTGACACCATTTCTCTTTGTTTTGAAAAGCTAATTCACACTTGAGATGCTTTATCATTATTTTGAGAGTTCAGTATTTTTGAGATGCTAAGTCGTACATTGGAAACACTAAAGTTAAGTCAAAAATGTTAGATGCTTAGTCCACTTTTTGAGTTTGTCATCATAATATTATTAACAGCTTTGGTTATCAGAAGGCTAAGTTTTCATCTCACTTTCTATCTTTTACTGGCAGAAATAGGCTTCCATAGTGATACAAGATGACGTTAAGCCTTGCATCCTGAACCTAACAACCATAACTAAGCACAGCAGAGATGGCAGAAAACAAGCACAATCCCTCAAAGTACAGAACCAAAAAAAAACTATAGGCACAAAACAACTGAGCTGGGTCTTTGAAGTGCACCCACCAGACGCATTATTGATCTGCTCTGCTTTCTCTCCCTCGGAGGCCAGGATCTGGGCTTGTTTATGACCCTCTGCGATGTTAATGGCCGCCTCCCTCGTCCCTTCAGACTCCAGCACTGTGGCTCTCTTCTTACGCTCAGCCTCCACCTACACAGGGGGAATACAAAAGTTTGTTTTCCTGTGATTAATACAGCTCTCTAACTTATCCAGCCTCACCGGTATAATGCCACTTTATAGGGTTGTTAGTACAGTCAACAAGACCTGACATGTTTTCCTAGACTCTGAGGATAACAGTTTCTGTTTTCATATAGGAACATTTGTTAATCTGTTGACAACAATCATTTACTTCATTTGAATGGCCGGTAAATACAAATTCTGACGTTTATCAATTTTCTCGCTTCTTCAATCTCAAAAAGCATTTGTTGAAGGAAAAATATTTGGCCCCCACCTGCATCTGCATGGACTCTTTTACCCGAGGGGGAACATAAATATCTTTGATTTCATAACGCAGGCAACGGATCCCCCACTCGTCTGAGGCTTGGTTGATGGACTGGACAATGTTGGAATTGAGGGACTCCCTTTCCTTTGAGGGGACAAAGAAACAAACGTTACGTGACTGTAGTGCGTATGACAACTTATACCGAAGAAGAGTGTGAAATAAAGCAGTCATTTGTTCTCCTTTTCCAAACAAGAAATAGAACACAAAAGGTATTTGTTTATTACTCTAAAAGTCCTCATTACCCCAACCCACCTCCGTATTTCTTTCTCGCCTATTTATTTCTTATTGAATTCAGTTCATTCAAAAACAATAATAAAAGTTATTATCGAATCAGTATTTGCCCTTACCCTGAACACTTTGTCCAGTGTGAGTTTGCCCAGTTCTGACCTCATGGTGGTCTGTGCCAGCTGTGTGACGGCATACTGAGGATCCTCCACACCGTAACTGGCCTGGGAACAAACAAATTAAAAAGGTAAAGCTAGTATTAATGTAATCCGAGGTAAAACAACAATTATTGTATTAATTGAAGCAGTTCTTAACAGCGTACCTTGTAAGGGTCTAGGATCCTTAGGTAAAGCACTCCATCAATCTGTAACGTTACATTATCTGTAAACACAAGAAGCGCTCATTACAAATAAATAGTGTTTGCTGTCACTGGAGCTACACAATTTAAATGCTTTAAAGAGGCCTTATTATGCTTTTTGGGGTTTTCTTTTTCCTGTAGTGTTTTTAATAAAGGTTTGAAGCGCAGTAAATTATCTGCAAAGGCTAAAATCCCAGAGTTCCCTCGAGAAGGAGTTTCTCTCCCACAAATATTTAGCCTCTAACAAATATGCTGCCTGCTGCAATTTGAATATTGCACTATTCCATATTGCGATTTCCTACATTTTTTTTAATTAATTGGACAATTGTCACACTTATTTTTGGACACTTGATTTACCCCTCACCTAGCGATACTGCAGACTGCTCCGGGACATCGATGACCATCTCTTTGAGATTTTGCACATAGCCAATTCGGTCCAGTACAGGTATGAGGAAATTTAAACCCTAAAAGAGGAAAAATAGCAGTGTTTTTGAGAATGTGTTTATTGTTTCCCCGCAGTAATATTTGATAAGGAATCTTCTGACAACAAAGGCTGTATACCGGCTCTAGGATTCGGTGGAAGCGACCCATCCTCTCCACCACCCAGGACTCCTGCTGCGGCACAAACAGGACCACGGTGTTCATGGGGAGGCTGGACGCCCATCGCTGCTGGGCCGGGGTGACCCACAGCCTCGGCGCCGCACGCTGGGTCTGCTACACACGCAAACAGGCAGGAAAAACAAACAAATAAATAAAATATGCTTTTGAAACCAAAGCCCCTGCAGCAAAGAGTGTTATCTAATATATATGATGAATATAGATAAAGCTGCAACTGAACATTTATTTTAGACGAATCAATGTATTAAGTCTATAGAAAGCCTCCAAACTGTACATAACATTTCTGATTTGCTCGTGGTATTTATTTGAAATACAGTATGCATTTGGTATGTGAAAAGTGTACATGTGTACATGTACTGTGGGTATTGTCCACAGTAGATGACCATTACATGTATGTATGATCTGTATGTGTAATGTGTATTTGTAAAGCGCTTTGAGAGTCATTGATAAAGCGCTATAATAAATATAAGGATTATTATTATTATTACATGTGTAAATAGCATTTCCCAGGCCATAATGAACGGTTAGCATGTCAGTCAGTGGTTAGCTAAATAAAGTGTGCCTCTCGTGTTAACTTGGCACGGTCTCAGGAGTTATTCTATCCAAATAAAGAGGGACATTTCCTGGATTAATAACACCCTGGCGCACGCTGAATGACAACCACTTTACCAACGGGTTTTCCCCAAGTTAACACGCCACCGGAAGTGCTTATAAAGGTTTAATTTACCTGCAGAAGGGCCCCGCCGGTCCGACACAGCGCCCGTAGCATCATTCAAATGAATTGGAGTGATTGTATTTAGTTTCGGCTTCGTAAATTTGACTCTTTACAAAATCTGTTCTCATGTGTATGACCCTTAACGAGGAGGAAATGAAAGTTACATCAGTGGTGCAACGGTAAAAACGTCGCTACTGTGAATGCTGCAAAAACCGTACAACTATGGTTCCGCTTACACGTTGATACTACAGATTTTATTTATCACACAGGGGGGTGCTGTTGGCTTGGTATTAGCTATGCTGCAGGTGTGTGTGTTATAGATGTAAATGTACCAAATGTTTCTACAAAAGCGCTATACAAGTATAATGTATTGTTATTATTATTAAATGTAGCTTCTTTGGGATCTCTTGGTTTATGTCGTATCTGTTCAAAAGGACGACATTGGGTCAATATGGGAATTGGGAAATAGGAAAAGCAGACAGCGGACAGAACATGAGTATATGTTTATATATGGCTTTATAATGTGTTCCTAGTAGTTTGTGTGTGAACAATAATAGGGGGTATAAGGGTTTGATCAAGCTGACCTGACTTGACCCTTAACAGTTTTGTTGTTGTTGTATTAACAGAGTTTAACTCAACCACCGAACATATTACAGTAATGTCATAGATAAAATACTTAAAGCAAAACATTGTTATAATGCATTGATCAAATTCATTACAGTAAAAAACTATGACATGAGAAATACAAAATAGTCAGAGATTGGGGATCTTGTGTGATTTCAGATTCAATAATCGTTGTATGCACCATATACCAAATAAAAAACCTACTTGGTAATAAAACTGATTCTGAATAAAAGTCAAAAACTCTCAAATGTAAGTCACCATTCACATTCAATAAAAGATAAATGTTGTGTGAAAAGGCATATTATTAATGAATACAGGAGACTAACTACTATAAACATTATTCAAATAGCTTTATCATAAAATAAGAAATGATGGTGCTCAAACTGAAATTTGTATACACAACCAGTCATCCATTTTAATGACAAAGAAAGTCACATCAAGGGATCTATACATTACAACAATAATACGAAAAAACATCATATTTGTTGACAGACAAACTCAAAAAAAACTGCTGACATGCATTTCTTTGTACAAAATAACATTCAATTGTAATTAACAGTAGAAATGTATCATTGTCTTAAGGTTAATATATAACTTTCTATTGCATGTGTTGTTTTGCTTAACATATCATGTAAACCTTTTCAAAGTGTAGCCTAATACAATATCGGCATCCATAAAATGGAAAAAAATGGTCAAAAAATCACCAAGGAATAAATAAATTTAAATAATTAGACTTTTTTTTCAATGGTTCCATCATACAATGTAAGCAATACAAAGTGTTATCCTATTAATATATTCAAAGAAATTAACAATAAAAAATTAATAAAAAATGATATATCAACAAGTTAACCATGAATATGTCATGTTTATCTTGTTTGAAATAATAATTAGTATTGCACAATATAATCTTTTAGCTTGGTGTTCCTCCAACCTGTTCCTCTCAGCGATTGGTCGGATATCTTTTAATCGGCCCCGCCCTCTAGCGCGGTACTGTACTCTGATTGGTCAGCTCAGACGCCAGTGACAGGTGCATAGACCCCGCCTCTATCGGTGCTCTCAGGTTGTTCGTCAGTCTGGAAAAGCTGTGATGAGAGTTTTAATAATGGCTTGGCCGTGGCGGGGGGCTGCCGCTCTCTGCCCGAGTCCAGCTTCGGAAAACCACCTGTAAACGTCGATTTGGAGCTTATCAGTGATTTGAAAAAGTAATTCACCGCTTACAATGATACTCGACGAAGTAAATCTCCGCTGAGCGCTGCTCTACAAACTGTGTCAAACTACTGGACTATCACTGGACGAGCTTTACCATGTCGTTACTGTGTGTCAAAGGTAAATGTCACTCTTATTTGCATTTCTTTACACGGTTATAAAGCACTTAACTCTAAATTTGATGCTTAAAAAACGAAATTGGTCTAGTTAAATCTGGTTATTTCAATATAATCTAACAGAACAGGTTTTCTGGCTGGAGACAGCCCCTGGGACTATACAAGTGGCCAATAGCCAGAAAATGGTCCTGTTGTGATTCAACGCTTTGTAACCCCACACTTTTGTTTAAAAAAAATAAAATCATATTGAGGTTGTTTTGCTAAATTGGATACGATATGTTACTCGTTTGTCTGAGCCCTTTATATACCAGCTGTTGTAGCTTAAACCAGAAACGCTACTGACCTGTTGTCTATAGAGGTTTTGAAGATATTACAAAATAAATATCAGCCATGACTAAAAATGATGTTAAATTTGGGTTAAACTCCAGCCAAATACAAATATGTTTTTATTATTTGCACTTAAATTATAAATAAATCACTTGTACAGGTTAAGGTTAACATATAAATAAGGTTGTTGCTTTACTGATGGGTATTTTAATTTGACTGACGAATAAATTATGATATAAGCAGTTTAATGTCCTTCAATAAAACGGATACAGGGGCCTTCCTGCCTCCTTCTGAAGGTTGCTGAGGGCCTCACTGTTAATTTAGTGGATGATCAAATGACTGAGCTTGTACAACCCCTAAATGTTAATAAAGTTAATTAGACAAACACATGTATCAATCTGGCGTCCATGTTGGAGAAAAAAAAGACCAGCAATAAATAAGATCATTTCAGAGGTCAAAATGATAATATGCCCAATGACTTTGTGTGTATAGCTCCTTTTTCTTTTAAAGAAGGTTCAAGTCTTCTTTACTGGAACACGTTTCTAGGTGAAAATGACACCAAAGTAAATCAGGCTTGGACAATCCTTGCCCGCCCCAGCATCCCAGCAGCAAAGCACATTATGTAACATCCTATTCCTTGCCAACAAGGCCAATGCCAAGCTATTTGGTTCAGCTGTGAGGATGGGGTAAAAAATAAATAAGAAAGACTGCTTTAATGGTTTTTAACTTATTTTCCTTTAGGATAATATTTAGCTTAAACAAATCTTGCTTTAAAGATTGAATAAGAGAATATTTTACAGAGTGTAAAAATACTTCTTTACCACTCCCCAAGATGACAATCAAATAGAGATATTTGTATTCATTGTTTATCGCAGAATATTTGTTTGTAGGTGCAAGAAGTTAGGCCAACACTCATCTGTCCAGTTGTTCTCAGGGATACATGGACAGGATGTACTGAATTGAAAAACAAAAATTCAAATACATTGAAATCTTCTCACCATTTTCAGATAAAAACACTATTTTTCAGGTCATTGACAACATCACTTTTAAAATGAATAACACTCTGCCCCATTATCAAATAAATTATAACTGTACTTTTCAGTCCCATCATCTGCCTCAGGTCAGGTGTCATACTTTGTATAGAAATTATGTTTGGGATGTCATTGAGCAATTGGGTAAAAAAGTGAACTTTTATGTAGTTGGTCTGAGGACTTGGAATACGTGTGCTCCAAGCAGAAACATTTTTTAAATTATCCTAGGGTTTGAGATTTTTTTGAAATACTCAAATTAGGGAGTATATTCCTCCGTGTAGTTGTTTCGTATCCTGTCACTTGAAATAACATTAGGCTTGAGGCAATCATCCGTACATCCTGCCGACACCTTTTAGAGTTGCAGTCCTCTTGCTTTTACTCAATTATTACTGCAAGTATGAACTGCAGGTGTAACATTGTGTAGGGAATAAATAGCACACTCCCTGAACTTCCCAGGACACTTCTAAAAATCAAATGTTTGTTTTGCAGATGGAGGCTTTGTAGGTAATCCCCTGTCTGATTCTGTTTGTCTCATTATTGTTATTTGGGTGTTGAAAGTTCCAACTTGTGGCTTTAAGCATTTCTTGTTATACATTTTGTACCTGGCATGTGTGAATGACTGTCAGTATTATTTCCCCAAATGTTCTGAAATGATTGGAAAATTAAATCAGGACTCATACGCAGCTAATTATTTGCAAATATCCTTCTGATATCTCCGATCATGCATATTATTTACACAATCTGTCATGATCCTAAGTTTCCTTAATGCTTGTGCAAATGTTATGGACGTCACTGCCGAGAAATTATGCTCACAAGTAAACAGCTCTAATTTCAACAACATACAGAGCAGGAATTCCCCATTTGAAGTTGTGTTAAGTTAACGGTGGTGTTTTTCTAACACCAGGAGTGAATTGGCACTTTATTAGCTCATTTCCTCTTCTTTTGAATCCACCAAAACGGTGGCATCCTGGCAAGTTGCCCGGGAAGATTGCCATGTTCTGCACAAATGGGAAATTCCGGTCAATATAATAGGTGTTTATTTTAGAGCTTGAAATCAATTGATAGAAAGGCTAGATAAAAGAGGACCTACACTGTATTATGCTTATTTTCAGGTTCCGTAAATTGTATTTTGTACCTTTTTATTTTGACATGTTTCCATGCTTTAATGTTCAAAAAGGAGAAACTCCCTCTGGAGGGAACTTTGGGATTTTAGCCTTTGCAGACCATTTACATGCACTCAAACTTATAGTATATAACACACTACAGGAAAGGGAAAACCCCCTCAAAAAGCATAACAAATCCTCTTTAAGAATGCCTACATCAAGGCCGTTAATAGACTTTTGAAATCAAAACTGTTTTTATGGAAGGCTAGGCTGACACGATAGCACAAATCATTTCTCTCAGCTTTAGGCATACATATTCATACGTTTTTCAAAGTCTGACAGTTTAATATTTGGCTCTCTTTCCAGGGTTCATTTTGAACCTTAATACGCCTGTTTAATCACTTCATTTTATGCTAAAGGAGTGCTTTCTTTAGGTGCAGGCTTTGTGTGGTGCCTCAACTATAACAAAAACTGCACGAAACCTAGATATTTATATGAACTTATTTTGAATTCTACCAAGATCGAACTCACATCAGCCCTCTTCATGCGTGGCCGGATTTTCAAAGCTGATGTTAAAACAAGAAAGAAAAAAATATGAATAATAGATGTAAGAGGAGCAAATGTAAAAAAAGACAAAATAGTCTTTTACCTGCCAGGTCTTGCGGTTGGAAGTCCTTTTTTAAAATATAAAACCTGGAAACAATGAGCCTCAGGATGAATTCGGACATCGATACACCAAGCTGACAAAGAGAAATGTTACTCGCAGAGGAAAGGTCAAAAAGAGGCATCTT